ATGAGGTAAAATGTACATATGGATGAGTATTAGAGTAAAATGGTATTCAGAGAAAAAGGAATGTTGAAATTAGATATGGGCAGTGGCAAAGGTCTAGGGATAATCATAGGAAAAGGTGGCTGGAATGGAATGGCGGAAAAGATCATTGGAAATGAAGAGATCAAATAACAGAGCACAGTGGGTTGAATGTATCTGAATACATAGATTTTGTACACAGAGAACTATGAAGGGAATAATTGGGAGGAAGAAAGTGAAAAGGCTGGTAGAGGTTTGCAACATAATGTAAATGAAATAGTTGGAAGTCATGCACTTCAAAGGAGCTCAAGGTTTTGAGGAAGGAGGACAAATAAATGAAGGAAATGCAGCCATTAGAGGCTGCTTGTCAATTATATTATCCCTATGTTACATAATGCAAGGAATTAAAAACAGCCAGCAAGAGCGAAGGCTACAAGACCATTTTTTATGAGTATGTAGATTTCAGCAATATGTGATTACAGTAATAAAATAAAAGGAACATTAAGAGAAAAAGACTGAGGACATAGGGGATTTTGCTGATGAAAGACTACAAGTTTAAGACACAGTGGAAAGACTATAGGTGTTTATAAAGGGGTAGGTGATTCAAATAAGAGAATAAAAAAGACAAAAGGAGGTAAGAATCTAGGTGACAATGAATGCCTGATAGTTGGCCTTAGTTTATTCTATGGATGGTATTGCAGGTAGAAGGGTGATTTTACAAAAAAACAAGATTTTATAAAAATCTTAAATCCACTCCTGATTTTAAGTGTGTTCTTAGAATTTCCTCCATATCCTCCAGGTGTATGGCAAAAGAAGAAAAATCTTTTCATGAACATGTGACTCATAATGGTATGTGAATTTTTTTTAATTAGCGTATCACTGATATACAATCTTATGAAGGTTGTAAATGAGCAATACTGTGGTTACTACATTTCCCCCTATTATCAAGTCCCCACCACATACCCCATTACAGTCACTGTCCATCAGCATAGCAAGATACTATAGTCACACTAAGTCACACTACTTGTCTACTCTGTGCTGTACTGTCTTCCCGGTGCCCCCCGCCCTTATATTATGTGTGCTAATCATAAAGCCCCTTAATCCCCTTGGTATGTGAATTATTTTATGGCACTTAGACACAGTTCCCTGAGAGTTCCAAAAAGGCAACCCATACAAGAGGAATTCAGTGTATGACCACAAAGACATCACAAAGGCATCTTTGTCTAAGAAATACTTAGGGCAAATTTACATAGAACTCAAGGATACCTGCATTTAGAGAGAAGCAATCTCAGTCTAACTGATTAACACTCCTGTTCCTAAGAAATGAAATGCTTTATCACCAGTCATAGCCCAATTAGTCAGTAAGCCATATTAACATTTATTATTTCATGATATGATTTAACGCTTAAAAATTAAGAGTTTAAAAGGAAAAAGGTTTGTGTTCAGAGAAGTCATGGAAAAACTTCATATAAAATACGGCTGTCAATTAATTTAAGGGGAAAGTGCTAATTAATAGCAGCTTTCAACTAACTGAATCAGATACATCAGGAAAGTCTCTGAAAAGGCCAGAAGAGTAGTTACATGAATACTACATGTGTGTGGAGGTAAGAAATAAAGCAGGAAAAGCAGTATATTTTTATAAAGGAAGGTTTTGTTTTGTTATATATTTAGCAATATGATTCATTCAGCTACTATGTGCATACTACCTGACCAATTTAGTCAAATCAAATGGCCTTTGTTAATTCAAAAATAAAAATGAGGTATCTTCCTGAAATGTAAGCTAGTGACTTACATTTTTCAGATGATCAGAGAATGTGATGCCAGAAGTCAAAATACTTTACATTTCATGAGGATAGCTTTGGAAAAGATATTTTATCTCTATATGCCTATGTTTATCCACACTCCACAACAAATAAACTGACATTCAAACTATACACAGTAATAAGCTTAAGTGTGAAATAGGGAAAGGTAAACTATACTTACTACTTGCTAAATAATTTCTTCAAAGAGAACAAGTACCAATACCATTAAGTATGTAGAGAAACTGGAAGATACCTACCTGGACAGTTGATTCTAGTACTCATTCATCATTCAAGAACTATTTACTGAAGATACAAGATGTGAAGAGTAGTGCTATAGATACTAAGGATTCCGTGATTAATAAAAGTCCCAGCTATCATGAGCTTTTATGCTACTCTAGCACAATAGACAATTTTAGGGTTAACCTCCAGAAGGATTCAATTTTTTAAAAGTTTCTAAAGTAAAAAATACACAAACTAGTTAAAAGTTGATCTCTGTACTAAACTATCCCCTCCCCCACAATCATAATTATTCAGCCTGAAAGAGTATTTCTGACTAGCTTCTAATTACAGGGGTTTGTCCAAACTGTAGTTTAAGTAGTAAATTTCCACCAATCTTTTATTAAACACTCTAAGAGAATTAATCATTAAAACTATTCATAGTTCACATAAAGAAAAAATGGAAACCTATACACAAAGCATTTCTCACAGGTCCTCACTAGTCTCCTTCAACTAAAATAATTCTAATCCAAGGCTGCTAAATAGTAGAGAATAAGCTTTTACTAATAGCACTTAAAAGAATGTAGGTGCTCCTCAGACAACATCCTTGACCATTTTTATTTCTTCTCTAGGACTCAGATGCTCACAACACAGAACCAAAAGACAATTCTGTTACTTTGCATCTCTGTACTTCACTGTCTCTACCCGTTAAAATGATAACAGCACCTACCCTCAACATTGTTTTGGGATTAAATGAGGGATGAAAAGGTTTTAGTTCTCAATCCGAATTGATGACATTGATCATCATCATTATCCTTAGTGAGATCTCATTAATACTAGCTTACATTTATCATTACCATCATCCCCGAAACCAGTTAGGAAAGATAATAAACAAGCTACAATAAGGATATTAAAAGATTTCTTTATGTTTTGGCAAAATGATCAGCATTCATGTTCCTTACACTAAGCAACAGATTTAAAGTATCACTAACACTAATGTTCTAATATCCAGAATTCTAAAAATGACCAAATTTAGGAAATGTTCAGGACTCAAAAGCTCCTCCAACAGATGCTTTATCAACATTTGCTACTCCAAAGACTCAGAGGTATTTCCTGTCTTTAAAAGGTCATTTTTTTTGCCTTCTACTTCAAGATAGAGTTAATAGTAGAATGAAGTAAAAATAAATTAAAGAGTTAAAAAACCATTTAAAAGATACTGTTTTCTAGCCTCATCCTTCCTAGCCAGACCATACTTGAAATCTCTAAAATGGTTTTATTCCAAGAAAATTAAAAACAACAAAACAAACCCAAGTAAGTAAGTAGAAAAATCTTTATGCTCAATTAAATCTGGAAAGTGGTGGTGGACTACAAACAATTAACAAAGGTAAGACCTGAAGTAAAGCAAAAATTACTGGTAAGAATCTTCAACTTTAAAACTCTGTGATCCTTCAAAGATCTTGAAGAAAACCAAGAAATCTCCGAATGGAGAGGTCACTAAATATCCATGAACACTCACCCAACCACTGGTAGGAGACCTCTTGGAGACCCAGATGCTTGAATAAGCTGAAATAGTACCAAGTTTTTACTGATTACTCTTCATGGAGCATAGGTTAACTCCATACTATCAAAAATTAAAGGTTATTATTACTGATAACTCTAGCTACTACCATTACAAAATACTTAAAGGAAAAGGAGACTGAGTAATGAGTTCTAAGATGAGTGAAACTTAACTATGTATGCACATGTGTAACATTATTCTTCTTATAAGTGTAAATATACTGGCAGAATAAAATTTTCTAAATGAATATGTTATAGAATTCTTAAACATGTAAATATTTTTAATATTGGTTCAGATAGAAAAATTTTGAAAAAAGAATCCGTCTTTTAAAGACAATGTCAATTTCTTAATGCTGAGTACTTCAGCTAACACACAGGAAAAGATTTTCAGTCCCCTGCACTTAAAAACATATAGTTCTAAACTTTAGCCTTTTAATAAACTAATGATTTTTCTCATCAGAGGATTCTTATATTTCAACATATAAAAATTCATAACTCTTAAGACTAAACAAAAGCCTCCTTTCTCACAGGAGGACTATCTGTAATAGTTGACTATTTTCAACATTATTGATAACCTGAAAGTTATCAGTTTAACAAGAAATAGATAATACCTAATTCCAAAGAGGAGTAAAGTAGGGTCAACACCTAGATGAAAATATCATAATGTTGTTCTCAATCTCTGGAAGCTGGGAGGTAGAATGGTCCCCCCTCCCATTCCACATTCCCCCTTCACCATGACTTACTTCGAAGGTCTATGTGATAAAACTGAGACATTCTACTACTGCAGAAATGACCAAGAAGAAAAACTGGTTCTACATTTCTGATTTTTCTCAAGTAACTTATTGTATAAAAACTACTTCTGCCTGATAACTTGTATCAAAGGAACAAGTGAAACAAGCATCACTTGGTTTAGCTTAGAAATACACAAAGTAAAAAAAGAATAATACATTCTAATATCAAATAAGTATATTCAAGCTACCAAAGAAACACTGAAATTGCAACTCAGCAAATATACTTCAACCTGGCTGATAAATGATTTAACTGTGACTTCTAAAGATGGCCTCACCATATAATAGACTTACACTTATTGAACATGAAAGAATTTTAGAAGTCTTGAGAACTGCAACAAAATAAGGAAGACCAGAGGCATAAAAACATTTCCTTGTCTGTCTACAGTGTATAAGGAAAATATATGATAAAGTCAGGGAGAGATTTGAGAACAGAAAGGCAAAAAGGAATGCCTAATAGAAGACTCGCTCTTCAGTGGTTGAGAACCCTAAAAAACATATGAAAAACTACAAATAGAGAAAAAATGAAGCAGAGATTGACATATAAAAAACTTGGGTGTGAGAAAAATTTAGACATTAAATCTCTATTGCAAATTTAAATGACAAAGTATACCAATATTACCTTTCTTTCGAAAGAGTGCATTTAGGTAATTTTCTGCTTGGCATTCAATCTTTTCAGTGTTGGACTGGCCCTGAGATGATAGTTCCTCCGTTGGTGTTGACTGTGATGAATCAAGAGATGGCATACAATCCTAAAATTATAAGAACATAAAACAAATCATTTTATTTAAACATGGGATTCCACTAAAAATGGCAAAGAAAAATTCTTTAAATGCTCATTTGTTCTACCTTTCAAGTATATCAAATTATTTAGAAAGAACATAAAATTTGGGACAAGAGCCAGGGAAAAATAAATTTAGCTCTGATAGAGGGCAAAATTAGCCTTACCTCTTAGTAAAATTATAGTCGAAAAAGGGGGAAGAGCAGACAAAATATATTTCTGTATTTCTGAATAAATTCACTATATAACATGCCAGTAAGAAGAGTTTTAACAATAAAGCCACTATAATCTGACCAAAAATGGGTACGAGATTCTCAAGTTCTCATTTCTTCTCAGCCCTTCTAACATTACATAAAGAATTAGGACTTCCCACCACACAAGAAGATGGTACTTGTCTGGTTTATACCCTGTGAAGAGTAGACACTGATATTTAACCATTTACACAGGAGATAATTATGATATTCAAGAGACTTCAAGAGAAAAGTAGTACACTGTCCTCTAGCTTCTGATTTCTAAAATATGAGACTGCAGAATAGCTTCAGACCAAACTAGGCCTCAAGCTCACCCTTGGTTTACCTAAATACAATACAGATCTGAACTGAAATTCATGAGTCAGGGAGCTTTAAGAAAGAAATGAGAAATAAGCAAAAAAGATGAGTGTTCTGGGATTTACCTACAAATAAAGCTAAATGTTAAACTTCTAGCACAAGACTTTAAAATATTCTTCTCATTACCAAGATCAAGTATTTGAATTTCCACTCTAAGTCACAAACTTTCAGAACAAATTAATCTAAAAATAATTGTTACAATTGTGCAATTATTTGAGAAATAATTTCATAGCACTAAAACTTACACTGACTGCTTCTCTCTGTAGGTTACAAAATGAACATTTTTCATCCATAGACCAGTCAGTCAGCTCTTCTGGTTCACAGTCTTTAAAAAAGGGAAAAATATTCATTAAATACACTAACTTTATTAAACAAATAAAATCACCACTCTCCACAGCAACGGCTCATATGAAAAAACTAACTACTAACAGTAAGGGGAAAAGTCCTAACTTTAAACTGATAACGTCTAAAAAGAAATAAACAGAGAAGGCTGTAAGGAGAGTGATTTTGCACTATCATGGGACAAAGCAGCAAGAACAATGAGTTGGTTATAAATTAATTTTCCAACAACAGAGTTTTAAGTATCATCTAGCCTTCTGAAAAATTCAATTTATCATTGTCTACTAAATTTTTATTTTCACTATGCAAGAAATCAGAATAGGGAGATATGGAGAAAAAAGGAATAAATTTTGCACATCATGAAAGAAAACAAAACAGAAATGGAAAAAGCAACAGAAAAGCCTACAAATTTGAGAAAATGGAATGCTATCCATGAAAAAAGTAGAAATCCATAGCTAAGAAGTCAGATTAGATTTTTATTATATTGTTTAAAGGTTTTACTGCAAGAGTTAAAAAGAAAAACAGGTAAACAGGTTGTATTATTCAACACAGAGCACAGATAGACTGCAGAATAGCTTCAGACCAAACTAGGCCTCAAGCTCACCCTTGGTTTACCTAAATACAATACAGATCTGAACTGAAATTCATGAGTCAGGGAGCTTTAAGAAAGAAATGAGAAATAAGCAAAAAAGATGAGTGTTCTGGGATTTACCTACAAATAAAGCTAAATGTTAAACTTCTAGCACAAGACTTTAAAATATTCTTCTCATTACCAAGATCAAGTATTTGAATTTCCACTCTAAGTCACAAACTTTCAGAACAAATTAATCTAAAAATAATTGTTACAATTGTGCAATTATTTGAGAAATAATTTCATAGCACTAAAACTTACACTGACTGCTTCTCTCTGTAGGTTACAAAATGAACATTTTTCATCCATAGACCAGTCAGTCAGCTCTTCTGGTTCACAGTCTTTAAAAAAGGGAAAAATATTCATTAAATACACTAACTTTATTAAACAAATAAAATCACCACTCTCCACAGCAACGGCTCATATGAAAAAACTAACTACTAACAGTAAGGGGAAAAGTCCTAACTTTAAACTGATAACGTCTAAAAAGAAATAAACAGAGAAGGCTGTAAGGAGAGTGATTTTGCACTATCATGGGACAAAGCAGCAAGAACAATGAGTTGGTTATAAATTAATTTTCCAACAACAGAGTTTTAAGTATCATCTAGCCTTCTGAAAAATTCAATTTATCATTGTCTACTAAATTTTTATTTTCACTATGCAAGAAATCAGAATAGGGAGATATGGAGAAAAAAGGAATAAATTTTGCACATCATGAAAGAAAACAAAACAGAAATGGAAAAAGCAACAGAAAAGCCTACAAATTTGAGAAAATGGAATGCTATCCATGAAAAAAGTAGAAATCCATAGCTAAGAAGTCAGATTAGATTTTTATTATATTGTTTAAAGGTTTTACTGCAAGAGTTAAAAAGAAAAACAGGTAAACAGGTTGTATTATTCAACACAGAGCACAGATTCTTCATATAAGAATGTTCCTTATAATCCAACTATTGCAATATAGTAGAGACTTTTGTGGAACACTGTCTAATGAAGGAAGTTTCTGAAGGTATAATAACATGGCCATCCTAAGTATACTTGGTCTATAGACAGTGATTTTTCAAACTCACTCTTTGTAGAAAAAACTCCGCCTAATTTCTTTTCCCAAATAAATTCATATGCAGAACCTCAAATACAAAAAAAAATTTTCATATGAAGTAGTACACTAAGACTAATTAGTTACACTAATTTGAAAAGCATTGGTGTACCACAAAAATTGTCTCTCATACTTTTGAAACACATAATGAAGTTGAATACATGTGTCTCCTAAACTATACAGAAAATGAGCTTATCTCTTTTGGAATAATAATGAATAAATACTCGTTAGGATCAGACCCTATGATACTCTTACATCAACCCAGATATACAAGTCAGAATAGAATATAACTTGTTGCAGTATAAAGAGTGTTTATAACACCTAGAGTGCAGTGATAGCCCCCTTTGATTTCAGAAGTTATTCAGAAATATTCCTAATATTCACCTAAACTTGGCAAGGGTAGGAAATAAGAACCTAAGGTCCAATATACAGTAATGGAAAGATAACTGGACTTGTAGTCTCCAAAAATCTGGGATGGAATTTATTAATTACAACCTTGTCAAGACACAAATCTTTTTTTTAATTTTCACATATGTAAAATAAGAATCCCATCACCTAACTCATTTGCAAATCAAATGAAAAAATGTGAAAATACTTTATAAACTATAAAAACACTATACAAAGGCTAATTATTAACACGGTAGGATAACCAGTCATTATTTTTTAAATTCGGTACTATTGCACATGTAGTTAGTAGAAGGTTAGTTTGCAGGAGACAGATAATTTTAATACCTGCTTAAGAAAATTGATTTTTTGTAAACCTGACACATCATAAAATTGAAGCAATCTATATAATTAAAAACCCAGAATTAAACCTATGTAGGTTTGTCATTTCTTTCAACCTTTCATCCTATCGCTAGAACAGAATCATTCACCCTCTTGAATGTAGGATCATGCAATGTCTCTTACCAAGGAGGCAGAGCTTTCCGACCAATGGAATGAATGTGAGAGAAGTAACAGTATACCATTTCAAGCTGAGGCTTTACAAGGCATGGCAAGTTCCACCAGTTCTCCTGGGCTTCCACCATACAATACGAGAAGAACTTGCCTGATACAGCCATTACTCCATCACTCTGAGACCTTGAGTAATGAGGAGAAGATGTGATGCCCATTCACAGCCTGGAGACCAGGGAATCAGATCACCCACAAGCACACAATAGTTTTCAGAGTTGTTTTATTAGGCAGCATTACTGTAGCAAAAACTTGACCCGTTTGCCAAGCATGACATAATTTTGATAATGAAGGAAATCTTATTGCTTTTTTATTATGGCCTCATAAATAGGAAACCTGAAGGAATCTAGCATTGGAATTTTTGAAAAATAGCTGAGAGTCTTGGAGAAAGGGTATTTTGGAAAAATTATTATAAGGTTTCATGAAATTTCGATGAAAATGTATTGAATCAAGGGAAAACAACTATGGATTAATTAAAACAATTACCAGTTTTAAGATAAAACTGGGCATGCTGAGATTATTCTCATTTATTTTAGGAGAAGTTCTTCAAGGAAATGTTAATTAAAATAAATGCCTACATGGTTAAATAAATAGCACTGACTTATCAACGATTACATAAGCACCATTAAATTTTGCTGGGTTCAAAAATCTATGACTTTACTACAAATATTTAATAATTACTCTTTCTATAACAACTTTTGATTTTAAGTCCAAATAAATGATGGTGGGATACATTTTTTATATATGGGAATACAGATTCTGAAAAATCAGTTCTAGGCCAGATTTCTCCCTCTGTCCAGGTTATCTTTTCATGTCATAAAAATTAAGTCAGTACTACAACAAAATACATTCATTTTATCTCTCAAACAAAATTTGACAAAGAATCAGATACTCCTCTAAAATAAGTTATCTCTTTTTTTAAAAGTTTTAACACATGAAGGTATAATCCCAAAAAGGGTCAAATTATGTACCTTATAGAAATAGTATTATTAATAAAAGGTAATTATTATAGTAAAAACTGATAATAAATGACTGATAAAAATCTACCTTTCCACCATGTAGATATATACTTGTGGTCAAAGTCTGGCTCCAATCATTTTACCTAATCTATCTTGGAAAGGTAACAGACTTCGAAATTAGAGAGCCATGGTACTGAGAGAGCTTTCCACATACTAAACATAGCCTGGGCAAATTAGTTCTCTAAGTTTTGATTTCCTCATCTGTAAAATGAGGATAATAATAACTGCATCTTAAGGCTGTAGTAAAAATTAACTAAGAACATATGAAAAAACACTTAACAAGTCTAACAGATTTTACTTTCATTTTCTCTTAAATAATCACATTTCTTTTGAATGTTTTTAGTCTCTTCAATACCCTTTAACCAAAGGAAATAAATTAGGAAACAAAGCCCAACAAAAAGAAAAAGAGGAGAATACTGAACTGGATTTTTCATGAAGGTCACGAAAAAGTGCCCGTAACTATGCTGATTTTGAGGGAAGATACTGAATAGTGAGCAGTGTAATTATAAAGTAATTTTTTATTATCAAAGTACATGTTAACTATATTGAATAATACAAAAGGTAAATGGAAACTATTTGTGATGCCATCATCGAGAGATAACAATTAACATTTTATTATATCTTTTCAGTTCATATTCTATACCTTTTAAAAAATTAAGGTCAGCTGATTCTTTGAAAAGATCAGTAAAATTTATAAGCCACTAGCCAGGCTAATAAAGAAAAAAAAAGAGAAAATATCAGAAAGAAAAATGAGCATCACTACTGATTCTATGAACATTAAAAGGATAATAAAATAATACTATGAACATTAGCTGCCCATAAATTTGACAACTTTAGATGACATGGATCAATTCCTTAAAAGACAATCTACCAAATCTCACACAAGATAAAATAGATAACCTCCATAGGCCTACATCTATTAAAGAAATTAAGTCAATAATTAATAACCTTCCAAAACACAAAGCACCAGTCCAGATGGTTTCTCTACAATATGTTCCAGAAGACAGAAGCAGAAGAAATACTTCCTCACTCATTCTGAGTCCATCATTACCACAATACCATAACCTGTCTGAACCATCTGTTGCCCAAGATGATATGTAAATAGCAAATATGCATATGAAAAGACGCTCAAAATCATATGCTATTAGATAGTTGCAAATTAAGATGAGATATCACCACAGACATATTGGAATGGTTAAAGTCCCAAACACTGACAACCTCAAATACTGGGGAAGATGCAAAGAAAGAGGAACTAAACTTCATGGCTGGTGGGAACACAAAATAGTATGGCCACTTTTGCAGACAGTCTGGCAGTTTTTTATAAATCTAAACACAGCCTGTCTATATAATCTAGCAATGGAGTTCCTAGGTATTTACCCAAACGATTTGAAAAGTTATGTCCACACAAAAACTTGTGCACCATGTTTATAGCAGTCTTATTCATAATTGCCAAAACTTGGAAGTGACCAAGATGACTTCCCAATAGGGGAATGGATAAGCAAACTGTGGTACATCCATACACAGCAGTACTATTCAGCAATAAAAACATGGAGCTATGAAGCCATGAAAAGACAAAGGAACCTTAAATGCATATTTCTCAATGAAAGAAGTGAGTGTGAAAAGGCTAAATACTGTATGATTCCAACTACATGACATCCTGGATAAGAAAAACCTACAGAGCCAAGTAAAAAGAAGAGTGTTTCACATAGGATACAGAGAAGAAAGAGGGCTGGAAAGACAGAATATAAGTGATTTTTTGGGCAGTAAAACCATTGTGAATGATACTGGAACAGCGGATGCACAAACACAACATTGTGCACTTGACAAAACACACAAAAATTGAACCCAATGTAAACTATGGGGGCTTTAGTTAATAATAATGTTATCAATACTGGTTCACCAAGTGTAAGAAATGCATCACACTAATGGAAGATGCTAATATAGGGGAACCTGAGGGAGGAAGGAAAGGGAAGTATATGGGGACTCTGTACTTTCTACTTGACTTTTCTGTAAATTTTAAACTGCTCTAAAAAATGCTGTTTATTAAAATTTAAGATAGTATTACACACATGCTCATTAATTACAAGTATTTCCCTTGCTCAAAAATACTTCTAAATCACTTAAATAGATAAACATAGTCCATCAAAAAGAAACATCATAACTAATTTAATCACTACCTATTGCTGGATATTTAGCCTGTTTCTCTAGTCTTGGTATCATAAACACCATAATGAATACACTTGATTAAGTCTTTGTGTATACTCTGATAAGAGCTAATATAAATTATATAATAGTATTAGATTATCTGGCTTTAATATAAATAATCATCAATTCACATTAGAAGACTACTGATTTCTGAGATCGTACTTACTCATTTTTCTTTCCTTACCGCTAATCCACAGTTCCTAACAAAATACGCATTTAAAATATCTAGTAAGACGTAAAATCATCCAATAAATCTTACTAGAAAGTAGTTTTGTTGTCTCCATTATCATAGTGTTAATAGTTGGAAAAAAGCCTATTAAGTCAAAAATATTAAATATCAATCAGTGGTCAGCAAACCTTTTCTACAGACAGCTAGATAGTGAATATTTTAGGTTTTACAGGCCATATGGTCTGTGTCACAACCATTCAACTCTACTGCTATAGTACAAAGCAGCCATAGACAATATGTGAACAAATGAGAGGGGCTAATTTCCAATTAAAATTTTATTAACTGGACAATTAAACTTGAAATTCATATAAGTTTCACAGGTCATAAAATATTAATCATCTAACTTTTTTTCAAGTATTAAAAAATGTTAAAAACCATTTCCTAGCTCACAGACAATTCAAAAACAGTCAATGAACTGGATCTTGCTTACATGCTATAACCTACAGACCTCTGATAAAATCTCATTTTGAAATGTGGACACGCCTACAGAAAAACCAGTAAGGATCTATCAACCAGTTTGCACAGGCCTATTGCACTCATTTCATATTTGTGTAAATATCCATAGTTAGGGCACATAAATTAGATAATCCCACAAATGAAAGAAAGTGACTCACCAATAAGACATGAGAAATAATTGACTAAAGCAGAAAACAAAAGTTAATTTTTGCTTAAAGTCTTGTGACAATTGGAAAAGTGTGTTTGGGGAGATGAAGGAGGAAGAGAAAACGGGGAATTTTTCTGGGAGCACGTAAAAGTTCAAAGTTTGTGACATTCAAAGCTTCTTCAGAGACTTTACTCCAAAAAGAAATAAGAGTTATGTTTTCCTCAAAATGACAAAAAGTCACGAGAACAGATCAAAAAGGACAGAAAAGCTAGGACTTTTGTTTTGTTTCTAAACAAATTAAAAATGAACAGCACTCAAAAATTTCTTTCAGAACCACTCAATCTGGAAGTGGTTCTGAATTGAATTCAAGAATGAAAATATAAACCTCACAAAACACTAATATATATGTTACAAAAGTCTTAAAAACTTCCTGTGTGCCAAAGTTGGTTTTTAAGGTAGCAGAGTGAAATTTAGAATGTATTTCTCCACAGAAACAGTAGCAAGTTTGTGATGTGGTCTATTTAACTTAAATGTATCATAAAATTAAAATATACATTAATTTTATAATAAAAAATAATTTAATATACAAGAATCCTTTTATCCATTTTTGTTTTCTGACTTTTGGAGAATAACAAGGGTTTGAATTTCCAATGCTTTATCTAAAAACATACCCTGATCTGTTTGATTCCTGCATACAGATATATGTGCAGAGAAAAACTGCTATACTTGTAGTCCTAGCATCTAAATATTAAACCATTTTTAACAATGGTAACAACAAAGCACACTTATTTATAAAGAAGGGAAGAAAGAAGCTGGAGATGTCTAATGGATACCTTCTGCACGACTTTTCAAAAAGCTGTACACTTTGATAGCACTGGTTTAATTTTCCTTCAAAGTGTATATCTGTCTCCATCCTTAGATTTATTAGTATAATTAATTATCATCACTTTTAAGCCAACAACTTTGATGGAACTTTTTTTTAATTAAAAGAAAAAAAAAGAAAAGAAAAACAAGAAAAGGAGGAAGAATTTATCTAAGAAGCCTGGAGAAAATTTAGAACATTTGGGGTAGAAAAGGGCAATGAAGTAAATATGTGCCTATGTGTGAGAAAAAGATTATATTTGGAAGCTTAGCTAGTTTTATAACTCCCACCACCAAAAAAGCACAAGAGAAGACAAAAAGTACAAGATCTATCATAATTAAAAGAATAAATGGAATGAGATATATAACAATGGGGTAGCAAATTAATAAATTGGTTAAATGCATTATATATATCCATAAAAAAATACTGGGCAGCCATGGAGGATGATGATCCAGAATTTTATATACCCAAATGATATACTAGTGAACAAACACTAGGCACAAAAACTATGGATACTGTGTATGTAGCATATACATTTAAGTAAAAAAAATACATACAAACATGTATTTTACATTCATCTAAAAATGTTACATTCATCTAAAAATGTTAAAGATTTTTTTTCTTTCCAGCTTATCTGTATGTTCTAATTTCCTAAAATGACCATGTGTGACTTGTACACTTAAATACTAGTCTAAAAATAAAATACAAAGCATCAATTTCCTTAGAACATTCTGTCCTTTGTATAGTAAACAACTAATTTCTGAAGAAATATAAATATATACATACATACAAACATAACTAAGTAAATAAATGAAAGTGGGGAATCAAGAGGCTAAGAGTCACAAGTTTCAACTGGGTTATAGAAAGGCAACTGAGTATAACGCTGATGCCTGATAAGAATTAGGAGAGCAGGTTAAGAAAGGAAGCCTGAAGAAGTTAGATTTTTCCTTTGTTCTTTAGATTTTTCCTTTGTTCATTTGTAAGACCAGAAAAATAGTTAAAACTACACTTAGCATTGCTTATAGTTATTTTAGGCAAAAATATTTAATTCAGAGTTATACTATGACAAAATGAGAAATGATTAAAATTAAGAGATATAAGAAAAAGATCCTAGCCGTAAGAATGATAAAACACTGGAAAAGGCACATTTTGGAGTCTCCATCCTTAAAAGTACCAGAGTAGAATAGAAGGTTACAAGAGATAGCATATAAAACTGACCAGATACAAGCTTGAGAAATAATTTGATCAAGATCAAAGCAGAAAATCTGTACGAGCACTACTCATTTTGTGAATGAAGCATACTATAAAGTGTCAGATATCTATAAAAATGTTCCAATACTCTACATTTATAATAAAACAACTAAACCATGGTATCACAGCATTTCTATCACAGATCAAAATATTCTACCAAGATTTATGCTAGAGCATTTGGAAAAGGAGATAATAAATAACAAAGACTACTATACATAAATATAAAACTGTACACACATGGCAGGATTTCTCAGAGTGACCCTCTGAATTCCAGGCTGGCTGTATCATCAGCAATAAAAGACATTTATTTAATTGAACCCTTTAATTCCTCTTTAAGAGTAAGTCAAGGTGTGTAATGTATAAAATAATAAAAACTAAATTTCACCATTAAGCCAAAAGCAAACTTCGTTTTCTACTTTGATCAGTGTATTATAAGTCTTTTAAAGACTATAATAACATTATGTAGTAACAGGAAATATATTTGGTTTTTATTTATTCATTTAAAGACACTTTCTAATTAAATGAGATTACAAATCTACGTTTAATATAAAATTAGCATAGAACCATTTTTCCTTTGTTAAATAGGACAGAAAGCTAGAATTTTAAAACTTAAAATAACATTACCTTCAAATAAACTGAGGTCTCTTCTTAGCCGTGGTCCATAAAGCCCTTCTAAAATACTCTCAAAACCTGTAGTTTTAAAGAGAGAGAGGTATATTAACTACTGGAAAAACTTAACTTTACAATAATCAAAAACCATAAACTCTGCATGAATCAGAAAATTGTAAATTTAACATACTACGAGGTGTCATTTTCCTTTAGTTAAATTAATTGAACTAGGTAATATACAACATAGTAGTACAAAGCTACCAATGACTATCCGAAATTACAATTATAAATAAATTGAAATATATTCAAATGTAAATTTTCACCATTAAAACAGGTAAATGCCTTTAACATTTAGAAATAGTTCCAGGTTAAAATATTATGGATAGATTTCTTTTCTAATAATATTGTAGAAAAAAATGAGAAAAGGCATTTATTACAATGCTGTTTATTTTTTATTACAAAAAAATGTTAACAAAGTAGCATCTTTAACCTCAATTATAAAAAAAAGTAAATGAGCAACAATGGGGAGAAGTTCTTATTGTGAAATATATGATGTATAAATTTAAATCCACCTCTAAAAATTTAAACACAACCATTTGTTCATGGCTATTAACTGCCTTATTTTAAGGAAAAGAATTACTGAAAATTTTGTCAAGTTAACAAAACCCAAGTTGATAAATTTACAAAGTATTCTACTTTCTGGATATACTCATTTTAGGATTTTACAATGTTCTTTCTGAAGTCTGTATCATATTCAATTTTCAGCGGCTTATTGGTGCTGCAAAGCATCCAAAGCAAAATGACCAGTATGGCAGAATAATTGGGAAGCCAAGAAAAGAAACTAATAAGGGAGGGAAAAAAGTAAAGGTACTATGATAGATCTGCAAAATGAAAGATAGATTTTCTCAGTGGTACTCCTAAATTGTAAAACAGTATAAATACTTCTACAGAAATGTTTCATAAATCGTAAGATGCTTAAAAACTTTCAACATCTCTGAAGTCAAGATATATATTAAAATAAATGGTATATTATAGTCAAAAAGTGGCAACATTTTTTTCATTCAGTAGAACATGAAGAAATGATGTATCTTACAACTGATGTCTAGGACTTGACAAAGTGTGTAGTTATCATGGTAGTTGGGAAATACGTACTTAAAATCTTTGTGAAGTGATTCAGTACCAGTTTCCATGAGTGGAAATTTCAGGCAGAAAAATGCACAAACTACCATTACCAGAGAGTTTTCAAGAATACTGTAGATAAGCTTTGATATTGAGTGAAGACTCAGACTGAACAGCCCCCGATCTCTTTCTTTTACTAAGATATTCTAATTCTTTTTTGCGGTGTTCTACATGCTCCAAAAATAATATTGCAAACGACTATTTTAAGTTGTTATTTCATGGTATATTGGACACATGGCCTTTACTGAATATTTTTAAATGCACATTTCCTAGATAGATTTAAGCCTGAAGGGAAGCAAAAAAGGAAGGACTAGTACTTCTGTTCTATTGGATTTCTCAACTCCTCACTAGGTCAGATCAAGGTCTTAAATATATCTTGTTAAGATTTACTCATACTACATAGTTGGTGCTATTGTAAACGGCAGCGTTAGTTAAAAGTCTGTATTTTGTAGGTTTACAAAAATAGAATTGATGTTTGTATATTCACTATATCTAGCAAAACTGATACGGTCTTTATAGTAATTTATCTGGAGATTCTCTACATACACAAATATATCATCTATAAAGATAATGGTAATTTTGGTTTCCTCCTTTCCAATTCTTACTGCTTTCTTTTTCTGGTTCTTGCCTTACTGCTTTGGTTAGGGCTTTCATTAAGATATTGAAAAGTGGTGGTGGTGATAGCAAGCATCCTTGACTCCTACTCAATCTAAATGGGAAAGCATTTAAACTTTCATCATCAAATATGTTTGATATATTCTTTTAAAACTATTACTTATAATTATTAAGGAAATCCCTTCTATACCTAGCTTACTAGGTGGGGTTTCCTACCATGAATAGATGTTGAATTTTATCAAGTTTTATTTTGCATTTATTGAAACAATAAAGTCATTTTTAAGAACTCTCTTAATATGATGAATTACACTGAATGTTAAACCAACCTTCTTCCATTCTGTGGGAAGACTCAAATTTACTGTGAGGTATTTTTGCTGGTTTTCCTATCCTGACAGTTCCTTTAAAAGTTCGGCACCTATGTTCACCAATGTAAGCATTTAAACTTTCATCATCAAATATGTTTGATATATTCTTTTAAAACTATTACTTATAATTATTAAGGAAATCCCTTCTATACCTAGCTTACTAGGTGGGGTTTCCTACCATGAATAGATGTTGAATTTTATCAAGTTTTATTTTGCATTTATTGAAACAATAGTCATTTTTAAGAACTCTCTTAATATGATGAATTACACTGAATGTTAAACCAACCTTCTTCCATTCTGTGGGAAGACTCAAATTTACTGTGAGGTATTTTTGCTGGTTTTCCTATCCTGACAGTTCCTTTAAAAGTTCGGCACCTATGTTCACCAATGAGACTGGTCTGTAAATTTCCTTCGTACTTGTCAAATTTTTATATCAATGTTATGCCAACCTCATAAAACAAATGGCAGTGTTCTTTCTTCTGCTGCTCTTGGGGAAAAATTAGGAAATGTAGGATGCCTTGTTTGAATATTTAATAGAACATGCCGGGGACACCAAATGTAAATACAGTCTTTCTGAAGTGCTTATTACTAATCGAATTTGCTCAACTGTCATAGGACTATTCAGGTATTCTATTTCTTATATTAGTTAGAGCTTTCTCTGGCAACTTGCCCATTTAAACTTTATTCTCCAATTTACTTATAAAATGTCTCATTATATATACTTTTATCTAATGTCAACAGCATCAGCAGTAATGGCCTTTTTGCTTTCCATTCCTTACTTTGATTATTAATGCTTTCTATTTCCTCAATCAAGCTCATTAGAAGTTTCTCAATTTTTTTTCTTAGATTTAAAAAGAATTCTTTCGACTCCTTGATCTCTTTTTGATATGTTCTTCTTACCCACTAATTTCTGCTCATGCTTTTATTTCTTCATGCCCTCCATTTTCAGTTTATTTTGTTCTTATTTTTGCTTTAATGGATATTTAGCTCATTAACTTTCAGTCTTTCTTCTTTTCTAACATATGCATTTAAAGCCATCAATTTCCATTTAAGTAATGCTTTAAGCTGCATTTCACAACTTTTGATGTCTTTATTTCCTCATCATTCAAAGTATTTCCTAAGTTCCATTACAGCTTTTTGCATTCAGTTTTTAGAAGTTTATTTCTTAATTTAGTCAAAGACAATGCCTAAATTAAATCAATCCTTTGATTATTTTCTGAGACTGTTTTTATAGTCGATATAAGCAATTTTTGAAAATCTCCTACATATGCTTGAAAATATGTACTCTAAAATTGTTAGATGCAGCATTCTGTATTTGTTCACTGAGTTAACATGTTAACTGTGCTCTTTAAATCATCCTTATTCATTTTTGTTTACGTCTGCTTGTTCTACAAATGTTGAGAAAAGTATGTAAAACCTTCATAAAATTGTGGCTTCATCTATTTCTCTATTTCTTTGAATGCTGCTTTACATGTTTTTAAGGCTGTATTATTAAGGGGCTAGGAATTTTATAATTGTTATATCTTCCTGGGGAAGTTTATGTAATTACAAAGTGACACTTTCTACTTCAGCAATTTGATTATTACATGCATATGGTGGCTTGGATTAAGTAAAGTTACTTGCATCTGTGTAGTGTTACAGTTTTCACCAAATTTGGAAAAATTTTGGCCATTATCCCTCCAAATATTTTTTTCTGTAGCCTTTTTTTGTTCTGGAGATCCACTTAGATAGACCACCTGACACTGTTTTACAGGCTATTTTCCCCAGTTCTTTTCCTATCTATTCATTTTGAGTCATTCTGTTATTTTTCAAATTCACTGATCATTTTTTCTAGTGCCTAGTCTGCAGTTAGGAAACTATAA